CGTTAGCCTGGTTTATCCTGAACACGAGCCCGCACATACGAGTCTCTCATTCATTTCTGTATATTTTGCGGTGCCCGCGTGCCCGCGTGCCCGCGTGCGCGCTTATTACACGCTTCGATTCGCCTCTCTATATTTTTCTTACGCATCGCGCTTATCCGTCCTCCGTACGACCAGCCATTCCCGCTTCTTTTGTACCACGTCCTCTTTTTAACCGCTCAAGTTTCCGTTCTTCTCCCCTCTGCCCGCCACATCTACTTCTCGACGTCCTTACATCCTCGGCCTTATCTCTCGGCAGCCACCGACTATTCCGCGCGTCTCTCCTCTCCATCTACCGTCTTTGCTCCTTTGCGATTCTCTCCACCGCTTCTTTATAACGACGCTTTTACCTCTCCTTATCCTTATCGATGCTACATCGTACGCCACATCGTGTTTGTCCCCGCCGCGGCCGGCGCGGCGCGACTCCAACTCCCCGTCTTTTTCTACTCCACAGTCTGCATTATCCGTCCGGATGCATCGCGTCCACACATTTCGTCTGCCTCGAACCGACGCGACGCGCGCGTCGCTCTTCTCTCCGTTCCGCTGCATTCACCTCTTTTCGCTACTCTCGCAGCTCGTTACATCACGTTGCTCTCCGTCTTCGTCTCTTTCCCCGAGCGTCGCAGTGTCAGTCCGTCTCTTTGACTGCGTCTCTCCGGCTTTCCCGTATCTACACTGTGTATCTTCGCGACGCGGGCTGATTCCGACTGATTCCTCTCCATTGCGCCATGCTAGTCTCTCTTACGCCCTTTTCTATTGTTCGAACTGATATTTCGTTCACCCCTTATCATCTCCCTTGCCGCTCCCTCGCCGACGTTGTTGTCATTCTTTGTTAAGCTTTCAGAATTTTCCTCTGTCTAGGTCTACTTTACACGTCCCGAGTGTACGTTTTTATCCAGACGTGTCTGATTTCATCTCAGAGCCGAATCTATCCACCTTTTTATACTTTGCTGTTTCTGATAGATCATAAATTATTCAAAGATGATGCACATTTATCTTTCGAACATGATAACAGATATTCCAACGGAATAAATTTCTCGAACGTGTATTATATAAATGCAATTTACACGAACAGAACATTAAAATCATCATCCAAATGACATCCAAATGACGTCAAAATCTAAAGTGATTATTAAAAGTCACTCTTCGATCAATTATGATTTATTTTACCGTCAAAGTAACATTATCGTGGCTTGTCGTTCCATTTAGAAAATTCTATAAACTTTTAACTTATATTAGTATAATTTGTTAGATAACAGGAATAATGGTAATACAATCCTTTGAGTTAACATTATTGTTATTTTTAAGTTTTGTGTGTAATAAAATACAAATATGTAAATTAATCCATTTCCGTAGTTAGTTTCAAAGTAAACATTATATCAATGTACGCATTTAGTAAAGAACTAAAGAATCTAATTTAATGGATATAATAATACATTAATTTAATTTTCTTCTAAATGATAAACTAATAAAGTAAATTAATTTAACAAATTAATTTAATCTAACAATTTAATTTAATTTTCTTAAATTAAGTTATTTAACTTTACTGTTTTAATTAAATTAACAACATATTGAATAAAAGCAGATAACATAATAAATTATTAAAAATAACTCAAATTGGGTACAATTTGATATTATGAATTTAACAATGTAATATAAGCGTTAAAGAACAATTACAAGCACATATATGCTATGTGAAAAAAAGTACTAAATAAAATAGATAAATCTGCTGGATTGCGAGTACAGCAAAAACAGCCAAACTCTATTTTAGGAGTAGAAAAAAAAAATAAATACCGCACTTTGGACCGTAACGTCGCGTGTGCCGCATGAGATTCCAACATGAATACGAGTGACCCATAAAAAAAAATAGCACTTCGCGTTAAGTGCTTTCTTGCGTGGATGTAACTCTCACAATGTGTGTGCTGCGAGAAGTTTGTTGAATCGTAAATGTAAATGGCGGTGAAAAAGTTTCTGGAGGACAGTATGGAAAAAAAGCAGAATAGAGAATTAAAGAAAGATGCTTTTAATCGCGTTTTGTTTTTTGGCAAATTAAAAAGGAACAATGGTTCTTTCCATTTTTTAAACATAATAGGTGAACAATCGATAGAAAACATATAAATAAATTAATTTCTAACAAATAGAATTTCCTACAACCATAATGAGATTAATATTTTTTTTTTGATAATTCAATTAATATTTTAATTGTCTTAAAACCTATATATCTATGTTTGATTAAAAATAATTTTACTAAAGATTTAATGCATTCAAGAGACAATATTAAATTACATTAACATTTTAAAAAACAATTGATTAAAAATCAAAATAGCAGGCTCTCTCTATTATAGATTTATTAAGTTCAATGCTGAGCTTTGGCAATCAAAGTGATTAATACAATATAATTACTTATGAATCAGAAGTGGATTTTCTTTTCCTGTCTTCTCAATTGTGTATCTTAGATAACTTTGTTGTAAATGTGAAATTCCATAATTATAAGGTTCATGCTTAGATAATCGAGATTGTTTCTGTTATTATTGTTGAAACTTCCGGAAATTTTCTTTGAAGAAACTACAGAATTTGTGGATTATCTCCGTGTCTTAATCACATCGTTAAATGCCAATGTTTCGTGATCATTGCAATTTACTTCATCAGAGCGAAAAGCAATCTGATACTTCTTGCCCTGATGAAGTGAACTACAATGTTCACGTAAATGTTGGCATTTAACGATCAAGATCGGTGATAACTCGTAAATCCTCGTATCTTCTTATTTACGTTATTCAGTGTATATTATATTAGCACGTTCAATATCGGGCCAATTTTAAATGACTTTATCATCATGCCGGAATATTAGTACATTAGGCCTTCTTCTTTACAATAATTTTTGCAATTTTGTTAAACTACATATATTTTTACCATTATAAAATATATGTTATATAATCAACATAATAAAAGCACATAAAAATGCCGAGTAGGTCACTAATGACCCACGGCATTTTTGTTTGCGTTTATTATATTTGTTAAATAATATATATTTCGTAATAATTAAAAAATTACAAAGGTTTTTATTATAAAGAAGAAAGTACTAATGTATCAATGTTGCATCACATGTCATAATTATGCATCTACGTGTGATACAAAAAATTATTTTACACAACTCCGTGTTATTTTATAGTCAAAATATTAAATATTCGAATGGAAAATTCAACGTGGATCACCGGTGACTCGCGCAGCACGAAATGTGTTAATATTATTAAACCGTAATATGCCTCGCAAAAATTATGTATGAAAAAGAAATAGCAATTTCTCATTTGTCCGACATGAACATGGTGCAGAATTTCTCTGGTGGATATTTCGCGCACAGAGACAGTTAAAATCGCGTACGCGGTGGGATGTAATCACGATGAATTTTTCAGCGTGGCTCGAAATTTTTTTTCGGGACACAAAGTATTCCGACGTATTAGCCGGTGACCTAGATTTCCAGCAAATTATACGAGCACTTCAGGGTTTCTATGGCCATGCGTGTAATCCAACCCTAATCGGGAGCGACAAACTACGGGAGTAAATAATATTGTTTGCAAATCGACATTCGAAGCCCCGGGCGACGACGTCACTCGAACTTATAATTCGATCGACAGACCGTATTTGTGATACCGCAAACAAGCTTGTTTGCCTCTTTCCACGCGCTGCGTGGCGGAATCGATCGATCATTTGCTCACAAAACGAATAATAGTCGAAATTCTCTTCCTTGATATAATCAAATATTTTATAAGATAAAAATTTATGTTTTCGCGTATATGCAAATTATTTTTCTCAACGTAGAATTACATCAATGCTAATGTGCGATAATGTCAACTAATTTTTCACGCTGCTATAAAATCGTTCATCATTACAAATTTTTTATATCTCTAAATAAATTTAACATTGTTTATATATATATATATACACAGGGTGTCCCGACCCTTTTTGCCAATCACTTTTGTGTAGATAGAGCGGACTAAACTGAGTCGAAAAATCCTCTACCATTTTGCAATTTTCGTAATATAGTTAACAAGATATTAATTACTAAAAATTACAAAATATTAGTCTTGAATAATTTTTTACTCAAATACCATCAACTTTACAGAAAAACTGCAAGAGACAAAAATTATTTATTTTCTTCTCATAAAGTTCTGAGAATTTTTTCAGAATTTTTTAATACCGTATTTTCTCATGTTGGTAAAAATAAGAAAATGCGCAGTACTAAAAAGTTTATAAAAAATTCTGAAAAAATTCTCAGAACTTTATGAGAAGAAAATAAATAATTTTTGTCTCTTGCAGTTTTTCTGTAAAATTGATAGTATTTGAGT